TGAAGTAAGCCCACCTAGTGATGAAACAGATTCTTCCTCTGCTCCTTCCAAAGAACAGTTAGAGCAGGAGAAACAGCTGCTGCTCTCTTTCAAGCCAGTGATGCAGAAATTCCTTCATGACCATGTGGATCTACAGGTCAGTGCCCTGTATGCTCTGCAGGTGCACTGTTATAACAGCAGCTTCCCCAAAGGCATGTTACTTCGATTTTTTGTTCATTTCTATGACATGGAAATTATTGAGGAGGAAGCTTTCGTGGCTTGGAAGGAAGACATAACTCAAGAGTTTCCAGGAAAAGGCAAGGCTTTGTTCCAGGTAAATCAGTGGCTAACCTGGCTAGAAACTGCTGAAGAAGAAGAATCAGAGGAAGAAGCTGACTAAAGAACCAGCCAAAGCCTTAAATTGTGCAAAGCATACTATGATGTAACTGCATTTGACCTAACCACTGCGAAAATTCATTCCGCTGTAACGTTTTTCACAATATTTAAAGCAGAAGCACGTCAGTAAGGTTTCCTTCTGCATAAGGTTTTTGTAGTGTGATGTCTTAATCATAGTCTACCATCAAATACTTTAGGAGTATCCTTAATGTTTAGATAGAATATTAGCAGCATGCAATAATTACATCCTAAGTTCTCAAGCAGAGGCAGTCTATTGCAAAGATCTTCTTTGCTGCCAGTTACCATAGGCTGTTTTTAAGTTAGAAAACTGAATAGCAACACTGAATACTGTAGAGATGCACTTTGCTCAGTAATACTTGAGTTGTTGCAATATTTGATTATCCATTTGGTTGTTACAGAAAAATTAACTGTAATTGATGGTTGTTGCCGTAATAGTATATTGCCTGTATTTCTACCTCTAGTAATGGGCTTTATGTGCTAGATTTTAATATCCTTGAGCCTGGGCAAGTGCACAAGTCTTTTTAAAAGAAACATGGTTTACTTGCACAAAACTGATCAGTTTTGAGAGATCTTTAATGCCCTTGAAGTGGTTTTTGTGGGTGTGAAACAAATGGTGAGAATTTGAATTGGTCCCTCTTATTATAGTATTGAAATTAAGTCTACTTAATTTATCAAGTCATGTTCATGCCCTGATTTTATATACTTGTATCTATCAATAAACATTGTGATACTTGATGTAGTTGTACATGACTTCAAATAGTACCTCCAAAGTTTGGAAAATTGTTCATTTTGTCTTGAGGTATGGACTTACCTCAGTTTAAGAACTTGGGAAATTTTTAACTTCATAGTCTTAACACCAGTGCTATTTAGTAGTGATTCACCCTGTAAGCAGCATTAGTAAGTACCATACTTTAGAGTATTCAGTTTTTCACCCTGTTTCAGACTGACTGTTTCTGTCAGTCTTGTAATGCAAGCTGTCAACTTAATCTGGAGCTGCCTTCTGTTAAGAAACTTTGTCAACTCTGACTCTGCTTTCTAAGCACCTTAGGAATAAGCTTCCTCATCACACCATCCTCTTTGCTGAGGTACCTGCTTAGTTCTTAATCTCCATTTATTCTTCACAACAAAACAACCAGAGCAAGAAACGGAAAAACAAAACTGCCATGTGGTTTAGAACTTGGCAAATGCTAGGCTTTGAATTTATGATTTAAAATTTTAAATCATAAAATTGGCTCCTATTTCCATTTTGTCTAGCCCTTGCAATATGTAGTTCCTTTACCTGGAACAGTGCTTTCCTTACCTCTTAACCTTCGGGTGTTGGTTTAAATTTCACTCAACTTGCCTTCTTCCTCTGCCAGGACAAGAGAAGAGTTTCTAGAAGTCAAAGGTTTTTTTTTTTTTGAGATGTCACTGAAAAGGTCCGCGGGGACAGTGGACCACGAAGTAGCTGTGTCCCCTGCATCCCCTGCCAATATAATATCTTCTCAGGTGTCACCAGCTCCAAAAGCCTGCAGTGGAATGAGTAGGGACAGATAGGCCCTTTGCTCCCTCCCAGAAGAACCCCGGTCTTGCTTTGGTGGCTTTGTCATCAACTCTCAGTGGAGTATAAGAAACTGGGAAAAGTTGAAGTCGGAGCCAAGGATAATTGTGGGATTGAGGTTCATTCCACAACTCAGCCTAGCCTGTGGTTTACTACTCATCTACCCCTTGGTGAAAGCTGAGCTCCAAGGGGACAGGACAGTGTAGGTCTCATCACTGCTGAGTGGGATTTTTATGAGTTTCAATATTAGTAAATTTTGGGAATTAAGGATTTAAGGGAAATTCAAAATTAGGTTTAGGATCCAAAATGTCCTGGATAAAAGATTGTCTTTGAATCTGAAGATTGATTGCATGGTAACTGAGTTAGGGCTAACACACTAACTGAAATGATCTATGTATTGCCCCACCCACTAGAAAAACTAGTGATGAATAAATGTTTGGATAGTGACCTGGGTTTTTCTCATTTGTTATACCCCTTAATTCTAATGTTTCAGAGCTTGCAACTTAGTTGCATCCAGACTTCATAATGCAGTGGTTACTTCAATGTGTGTGTGAGACATTTTTTAAGGCCCACTCAAGAGGGAGTTCCTTGAAGAAAGGCCCCTGTGATGGGAAGACAGTCCTTTCACAGCTCAATCCTTGGGGTGGGTGCTGTGGACCAGCTACAGCTTTCAGGGTCGAGGTAGGGCAGGACAGATACACAAAGGTCACTGTCAGACAACCTGACAAGTCCTGGTCCACACTTCTTCCCACATCACTTGGAACCGGAGTCTGGAAAAGAGGACAGAAAGCCATCAATCTGCCCACTCACTGAGTGTTCTCAGAGCCCTCTGCTAGGCTCCAGGAGGGGACCTTGAAGACCTTGTGGACAGACACTCCTCAAAACAGCTTTTGGAACATGGTTGGCAGGAAAGAACTGTTTAGGGGTGGTAAGTATCCAATGGGGAAAGAATGTTAGTGCTACTTGAAATGGTGTTCAGAGAAAGCCACCCTTCGGGGGAGATAATGGGAGTTAGGAGGGAATCAAGTCACTAGAGCATTCAGGCAGAAGGAAGCAAATCCACAGGCCCTCAGATGGGGATGGCCTGAGGCTGGATGGAGATTGGTGGGGTGGTTGGTGGAACAAGTCTGACAATAAAGATACATTTATTCAAAGTAGAACAGGTAATTTTATCTAACTGATAATTAATGATCCAGTGTCTGCATTTAACTGATTATTCTAGCCAACATTCACTGAGCATTTAGATTGGAGTAAATTGATTCATCCCAACTAATCTTTTTTTAAATTTATTAATTAAAGATTTCTGTCTCTTCCCCCCAGCTGCTTCCCCTTTCCCTCCCCCTCCCCCAATCAAGTCCCCCTCCCTCGTCAGTCCAAAGAGCAATCAGGGTTCCCTGCCCTGTGGGAAGTCCGAGGACCACCCACCTCCATCCAACTAATCTTTCTAGCACCCCCAGGTACTATACTATCTCTAGTTTATTGATGCAGAAACAATTAGACGCCTTATCCAAGAGCTATAAATAGTTCCAACCCCAGCCTTACAATGTATTGTGGTCCAGTTACTGCTCACTTGATTCAGTCTGGGACCCCAGCTCAAGGATGATGCCACCCACATTCAGGTGAGGCTTCTCCCTTCACCTAAAACTTTCTGGAACTAGAATAGCTGGAGAGATGGTTCAGCGGTCCTGAGTTCAGTTCCCGGCAAACACATGACTCAGTGGGATCTAATGCCCTCTTCTGGTGTGCAGGCAAACATACAGCATTCGTACGTGTATGTATGTGTGTGTATATCTATATAAAACTGGAAATAGACACACCCAGAGATTTACATACATGGTGATTATAAATTTAAGCAAGTTAGCAAGGAAAGTTAACTATCACATCCAGATAGAAGCTTCATGCCTGTGGGGTGGGCCCTTTGTTCTTAAGATTGTGTGTTTGTGTGTGCAGTGCCATAGCACTTGCATGGGGACAGAGGACAACTTTTCAGAAGTCCACTTTCTTCTACCACAGCACAGCAATAAGTGAGTTTCTGTCCCATTCTATCTCCACTTTCCGTCTCATTGTAGGAGTGCTACAATTACATACATGAGCCACTTCAGCTGGCTTTTAAGGTTGTTTTTTGGGATTCAGTTGAGGTCATGTGTCTCTGTCTTGTGCAGCAAGTGCCATGTCACCAGCCCTGTTTCATTTTCTTTTCCCTTTTTCTGCACTCCTTCTGATAGCATGACTGACTTTTCTGGGCTGGAAATGCTGTGGACAAATGTCTACTCACCCCAGACAGAGCATGGATAACAGACCGGGGAGCCAATGAATTTATTGGGATTTTTTCCAGAAGCATGGATGAAGTGGGTACCATGTAACCAGTGACATCACACTACCACCATACCTTCCTGGCCTTCATAGACTATATCCTCTTGAGCTGTATTCCAAAGCAAACCCCTCCCTCCATAAACTGCTATTTTGGTCTCATTAACAAGAAAAGTTATTGGTGGTTTGAATGAGAAATGTCCCCTGTAGGCACATGTAACTAAATACTTTGTTTTCCAGCTGGTTGCACTCTTTGGGGAGGTTATGAAATCTTTAGAAGTGGACGGAGCCTTGCTGGAGGCAGTTACTTCACTGGGGACAGGATTCTAAGGTTTATTGCCTCATCCCACTTCGGTTCTTGCTTTGTGTTTCAGTAAAAATGACATCAGCCAGCAACCCTGCTCTGGCCACTTGCTGCCATTCCTTCTCACCATTATGGACTCCTGTGGAACCATAAGCCAAAATAAACTCTTAGACATTGGTATGGTCATGGAGTTTTGTCTCAACAGAAAAATAAGAAAGGCAGTAACTTAAGAACTATACTTGTGTGACCAAGCTGCAGTCAGAATAGGATTGGACCATAAGACCTGAGTACACACAGCCTCCAAATGCCCCTGCAATGGCCTGGATTGTATCCCCCCAAGTCAAAAGGCCTGAACATGGCCTCACTTGGGAAAGATCTTTGCCAGTGGTACGATGAAGTCCTGAGGATGGTCGCTAGTCTTGTATTGTGATGTCTTTATAGAAAGAGAAGAAACAGATTTTGTCAGTTGATGACACAGAGATAAGGAGGGATGCCTCTAGACATGGAAGGATACTTCTAGACATGGAAGGATACTTCTAGACATGGAGGGATGCCTCTAGACATGGAGGGATGCTCAAGTTTGCAGGCAACACTAGAAGGCACTTTTTCTTTTCTAGGCTTTGCATTTAAGACACCCCATTCCTTCAGGGACCAATGCCCCTGCTCTTCCCCAGGGCCATCCCCCTTCAAGGACTACCATGCCTTCCAGTTCACTCCTTTCCTCTCACCTCCCTGGACCTCCAAAGCTACTTCACCCAATGCTACAAACCTTTAATACAGTTCCTCAGGCTGTGGAGACCCCCAACCATAAAATTATTTTCATTGCTACTTCATAACTAATTTTGCTACTGTTAAGAATCATAATGTAGGGGCTGGAGAGATGGCTCAGTGATTAAGAGCATTGCCTGCTCTTCCAAAGGTCCTGAGTTCAATTCCCAGCAACCACATGGTGGCTCACAACCATCTGTAATGGGGTCTGGTACCCTCTTCTGGCCTGCAGGCATACACAGAGACAGAACATTGTATACATAATAAATAAATATTTAAAAAAAAAGAATCATAATATAAGCCAGGTAGTGGTGGCGCACACCTTTAATCCCAGAACTCAGGGGGCAGAGGCAGGTGGATCTCTGAGTTCAAGGCCAGCCTGGTTTACAGAGTAACTACTGGGAAACCCTGTCTCAAACCCCCCCCCCCCCCCCCCCCCCCCCCCCCCCGCAAAAAAAAAGAATCATAATGTAACAATTTTTGGAAATAGAGGTTTGCCACGGGTTGTCAAACCAAGAGAGATGTCACTAGTGAAGGAATGAGGGCACTCTATTTGGTTCTCAGAAGAATTCTCTGAAAAAGCTTACAGGAGACATACATTTTAGCAATGAAAAATTAGAAAATAAATTAAAAAGTGAAAGAAGAAACGTGGTTATTCTAGTAATTTTTTTTGTTTTGTTTTGTTTTTGTTTTTCGAGACAGGGTTTCTCTGTGGCTTTGGAGCCTGTCCTGGCACTTGCTCTGTAGACCAGGCTGGTCTCGAACTCACAGAGATCCGCCTGCCTCTGCCTCCCAAGTGCTGGGATTAAAGGCGTGCGCCACCACTGCCCGGCCTATTCTAGTAATTTCTATAACTTGGTGGGGAATGACCTTTTGGGAAAGTTTCAGGTTTATTTATTTATTTATTCATTCATTCATGTATGTATGTATGCCATGTTCTGCCTGCATGTGTGCCTGCAGGCCAGAAGAGGGCGCCAGATCTCACTACAGATGGTTGTGAGTCACCATGTGGTTGCTGGGAATTGAACTCAGGACCTCTGGAAGAGCAACCAGTGCTCTTAACCTCTGAGCCACCTCTCCAGCCCAAGTTTCAGATTTTTAAGGAGCTTAAAGTTTATATAATTTATAACATAAAATTATGGAGTCAGTGCAGGGTCTTCAAGGATCCCTGAGTGAAAATCACATTTGTGTGAAAATACTTAATGCCTAAAGGCAAATGGCAGCATGGGATGAGAGGGTGGGCCAATATGTCTGATTCAACACACACAGAAATTAATGGCACACTAAGAAAAGGATCTGTCATACACACCTCAGGAGTTGACCACATACGCTCTTCAAATATCAGGCAGAAAAGAGAGCAACGAACGTCTCAAGCCCTAAGATGGAGACATTGTTTATTCCAATTCAGACAAGTAGGCAGGCACAATTGTTCCATCTATCTATCTATCTATCTATCTATCTATCTATCTATCTATCTATCTACCTATCTATCTACCTATCTATCTATGCTTTAAAAGCCAACCTTTCAAGGCCCTTTCTCTCTCCAGCCATCTCTCTCCAGCTCTAAGTATATTGAATGAAGAGAGACCCCACCTAATGGGTAGAGGGAAGGTCAGCTGTCCTAATTGCTCATTCTGCCGGAGCTCAGGATAACGTTCCTAGCTGAGCAGGGACACATTCCCACAGCCTGGGCTTACTTCAAGTAACACAATGGTGATATTCGCTCAAAAACCACGGGGAGCAAGCCACTGGCCAGAGATTTTATGTACAGTTTGAATGAAATTATTTTATGAAATGTGGGCAGAAGAAAACACTGGTTGGGAGGTGGAGAGATGGCTCAGAGGTTAAGAGCACTGGTTGCTCTTCCAGAGGTCCTGAGTTCAATTCCCAGCAACCACATGGTGGCTCACAACCATCTGTACTGAGATCTGGCGCCCTCTTCTGGCGTGTGGGCATACATCAAGGCAGAATGTTGTATACATAATAAATAAATCTTAATAAAAAGAAAACACTGGTTATTAATACACACTAATATAATATGTGCTTTTAATGTGCATTTTAATGT